GGTAACAATTTTTACGTAGGCAACGCAGAGCCAGTAAAAATTTGCGTAATGGGATGTGTATAATAAAAAGGTCAACGCGCGGAGTGCGAATGGTCACCAAGGTAACAACCCACTTGTTCAGCGCGTGACTTGGGGTTAAACTTGGGCCAAGGTTTATTAGATTAGTCAGTTTCGCCAAGAAGTGCGCTATTTTTTTCGCTGATCACCCAGTTGTTGTAGTATATATTGTAGCACCAAGTGTGTGACACTCCCTCTTCGACTTCGGCTTGCTTTTCCTACTTAGTGCATGGTCTCGAGGTAACGTAAACTGCGGCCTCTCATCGAGTGTTTTACACTTGGAATTTATACTTCACCCGATTATATTGGTATACGCGAAACATTAATCTTTTAAATTAAAATAAATCCTGAGACTATACATGATGTAAATTCAAAATAATGTGGTAATATTTTACATTATGTGGGCTCTACATTATTCTGGGTTGCTTTGCGATGTTATACCAAGACTCGCGAAAATAAAATAGTGTTCTTCTGCGAACTAATAGAGACGATTTTTCCAATCTTCTGGTACCACTCGATTTTTATTATTTGAACTTGGCAGCAAGTAACCTTTAGTTTCCCAGTCTATTCTGTCCATTCATAGTCTTAACAATAGGGTGTAAATTGCCATGCGAGCCTACCGCACACGACCACGGTAAACCGGGGTCATGGAATCTATGCATAAATTTGCATAAAATGCGGTCGACCGGCGAGCACCCACCACCACCGCGGTAATGAACGAGTTTGATTTCCTACTCTTCCCTTAGCAGAAATTATTTTTTTGCTAAAAAAAAAAAGATTTTGAATGGAGTTTATTATTGTGTTGAAAAGTGTAAAATATGGTAAAAAATGTATTTCTACCATTCCTACTGATTCATCCCTTCAGCACTGAAAATAGAGTACTTTTATATATATTTCTAGAAATTGGTACAACACTGAATAAGAACTTGCAACTACACGCGATTCCAAAGTGTATCAAATGAATATACTTATTGACTTTCTTGTTGATTTCGTTGTGACTGATTGTCGAGATAATTACTTTCAGGTTTAGTTAAAAGAAAAGTAATGGTATTAGACTTAGATGAAACTCTCATACACTCACATCATGATGGGGTCATAAGACCAGCAATTAGGCCTACAACACCAGATTTTCTATTAAAGGTAAGTGGCTTTCCCATAATCCACCTGGATGACCCCTCCTCCAAAGGTCTAATTTTGATGAATATTTTTGTCATTTTTGGTAAAAAGTGATATTTTCGACTTCTTGTTAAAAACTGCTTTGATACTATACATGATATAGCATTGTGTTGTAGTTGCTCTATTAGAAGCGAATCTCTTATAGAAGCACACCTCTATCATTTATGTAAGCATGTATGTTACAAATAGAGCAAATACAGTAATGCAAATATGAATTCCCCAATTATACATACAGAACCCCTTGTTTTAAAAACACTGATTGATATTAAACTTTTTTTCTCACTCTGGATAGGTGACCATCAATGGCCATCCTGTTAGGTATTTTGTATATAAAAGACCACACGTGGATTTCTTTTTAGACGTGGTAAGGAAATATTCATTCTGTATATTATTCTCATTACATACACGTTTCATGGATTATTGTTGAAAAGTATGCCTGTGTGTTTCTCCTGTCTCCATAGGCTGGCTGTAACTTCCATCATTTACACTTTAGGAGAATAAATCTGAACCTAATTCTCAGTTGCATGCCAATATTTATGTATCAGAACTGCAATTGGGCACAGAATTTTTGACTCCCGTGTGCGAAGCACAAAAGGGAGTCTTTGCAGCTACCCTGTCTGTATGTCTCTGTATGTATGTATGTATGTATGTATGTATGTATGTATGTATGTATGTATGTATGTCACTTTTTTGTTCCACCGTTATCTCAAGAACCACTAATCAAATTTTTATGAAACTTGGTACATAGATGCTCTGAACTAATACGCATATTTGATTAGTTTTAGGTAAAAATTCATGAATATTAATAACCTATTTTGCATGATAATTAACCAATTTTCAGCTGTTCCATGACTGTTCCACTTATATTTAAAGAACTACTCATTGGATTATGATGAAAATTGACACATGGATGCTCTGAACTAATGTACAGATTTGATTAGTTTTGGGTAAAAATCGGTTTATATTAATTACTGTACCTAATTTACATAATGATTAATCAATTTTCGGCTTTTCCACTGATATCTCAAGTACTAATCATAACATTTCAATAAAACTTGGTACATAGATGACATATGACACTTCACAGACCTGATAGTTTTTAGGGTAATTTCAGTACATATTAATTACCTAATTTGCATAATTAATTAATTTTCAGCTTTTGATATTTCAAGCAATAATGATCACATTTCAATGAAACCTGGTACATAGTTACTTGAGGACTGTGCAGAGACCTAATTAGTTTTTGGGTAAATATTTGTGCATATTAATTACCTTATTAGCATAATTAGTTAATTTTCAGCTTTTCACCTGATATCTCAAGTACTAATCATCACATTTCAATGAGACTTGCAACATAGATCTGCAACATAGACCTGATTAATTTTTGGGTACATAATTTCGCATATTAATTACCTAATTTCATAATTAGTTAATTTTTTGCTGTTCCATGGCTGTTGCACTGATATCTAAAGAACTACTCATTGGATTTTAATGACACTTTTAAAGAGTACTCATCACCACATTTCAATGAATCTAGGACTATACACCATATTAGGTTTTGGTAAATATTTATGCTTCTTAATCACCAAATTAACATAATTAATTAATTAATACTTGTATCTCAAGTACTGATCATCACATTTGAATAAAATTTGGTACATAAATGCTCTAGGACAATAGGCAGCCTGATTAATTTTGGGTTAAAATCTGCTCATATTAATTCACTAATTAGCATATTAATTAATATTTTTTTGGTTCTAATCACATTTCAATGAAACTTGGTACATAGATATTATATTACGAAAATCTTTTACATTGTGCAGACCTTATTAGTTTTACACTTAAATCATATTAGTTACCTTATTTGCATAAGTTTTTCCATCAATATCTCAAGTTCAAGTAATTTTGAATTAATTTTTAATGTGTCTCCAATACTCTCAGCACACGGGAGTTGTTTCTAAGCTTTCTTTGATTTGCTTTGTGTGTTTATACTTCCTTGCTTTCATATTAACACATCACTCCCTGTTTTTTATGTCCAAAAAAAGTATAGAATCAGGGACTATTAATTTTTGTTCCATCCATCCAGAATGTTTTCGCAGACATGATTGATGAATCACTTTAAAACTTTAAAACAGAAGGACTACATATGATGACTTGCATATATACATCAATTCATTACCATTTGATCAAGCATGTCTGACTGGCGGTCATTTTGGTCCTAACAATTGCTAAATTCTGTACAATAATTCTACATACTGTGGAATACTTTATTTTCGCTGGAATTAATTTTCGCTGAAAAGGCTTTTTGAGCGTTTTGTATGGAATTTATTTTCACTGATTTCTGATGACTTTAATGTGAAATATAGGGAAAAAAGTATATTCACTGGATTTTATTTTCACGGAATCATCCCTTCAGCGAAAATAGCGAAAATAAATTCCCAGCAAAAATAAAGTATTCTACAGTACTAGATTTTTCTTGTACATTCTAGTGATTTAACCAAATTTGCTCAGCCCATTACTGTATGTTGCCAGCAACGAATGATTGCATCACCACACTTCTGAGTCTGTGCTAGTGATGGAATTGTGATGCTATCTGTGGGAAGCTTTCAGCAAGCTATGTGTTAAACTAACACGTACATCATAATTATCAGTCATAATCTGATATGCAAATTATGAACAAACAACAATAGAGAATAATACGTAATCAGTGTGCAAAAGTGCACCTCAAGGCACACTGCCAAGAAGTAATGTCATTCGGCTCCACATGAGACCACAAAGACTGAACTTATTTTTTCTAACTTGCAGGTTAGTCAGTGGTATGATTTAGTTGTTTTCACAGCAAGTATGGAAATATATGGTTCAGCAGTTGCTGACAGGTTAGACAATAAAAGGGGTATTCTACATAGAAGATACTATAGACAGGTAATGTTGAAACTTATTGTGGTTTGTAGTGTTGTGTCCTACATTCACTGTGATACATTTTGTATTTACTGTACAGTGTAATGTATTATAATATTCATATTGATGTTCGGTGTAATTATCACGTTGATTCTATTCGTGGTGCTTATTGAGTTTAAGCAAAAATTTTCTTAACTGGCACACATCTGTGTTCAAGATTTATGTCCTGTTGATTTCCCAATACTAAACCAACTCTGTCTGTACTTTATAATGTTTATTTGCCAGGAGACCTTAACCCTTGTCCTGTCAGCCCTCGGGTAATTTAACATTGACTTGACCAGATAAGGGTTAAAGGGCAGTGGTCATCGGGTCTTCGGATTTCTAGTAAACAAACGATGTATTTTGCAGCATTGTGTACATCGTTATGAGTACCATATCGAACAGGACACTATGCGATGACCACTGTCATTTAATGTATGCTCCTACCTTGATTAAATATGACTCTTGCATTTGTTTCAGCATTGCACGTTAGATTATGGCAGTTACACAAAGGATCTATCAGCGGTGTCACCAGATCTATCTAGTGTATTTATAATAGACAATTCACCAGGAGCGTACAGAGCTTTTCCAGGTATGGTTCTGCATATGTGTTCTATCAGGGACGTCCACGAGAAAAATTCACTTCTTGGATGTCAAATCTATGGGGTCCTTATATTTCCTGGTGTTCTCACACATTCATACCATTGAATATTTCACAGAATAGTCCTACGACTCAAATAAAGAGTTCAACTTTTAAAGCGAGAGGGTCGTCACCTGCTCACACGTGGGAATTGAGTCCCAAGCTATGAAAACAACACTCACTAAAAATGCAAAGGCTCATGGGTAGACGCTTGTTTGTAAACAATAACACGCTATGGCCACCTGACACATGCGTAGGTGACGACTCCCCCGCTTTAAGCATGTTGTCCGAACTTCAAAGTTGCATACTACTTCACATGTCACTACTTCACATGTCACTACTTCACATGTCACTACTTCACATGTCACTACTTCACATGTCACTACTTCACATGTCACTACTTCACATGTCACTACTTCACATGTCACTACTTCACATGTCACTACTTCACATGTCACTACTTCACATGTCACTACTTCACATGTCACTACTTCACATGTCACTACTTCACATGGCACTACTTCACATGGCAATAAACAAAATGTATCCAGTAGTACAACTTTAAGGCCAGAATAAAAACATAATTTTTACTTTTTATTCATCTTTTCTTGCAGATAATGCAATTCCAATTAAATCATGGTTTTCAGATCCTAGTGATGTTGCGTTACTCAACTTATTACCGGTATTAGACGCGCTCAGGTTCACACACGATGTCAGATCAGTTCTTAGTCGAAACCTTCATTTGCATAGACAGTGGTTACAATAGTAACAATTCTTTCAAGAAAAAATTTTGATACAGTGTATCATTCAATGGCTTCCATCTACGCAGCATTGGTTAAGCAGATAAGCTAACGTAGATATTTGCAAGCTTAGTCGCACCGAGGTGTTCAGTTCTATCGTCGGAGTGCTACTTCATGGAAATCAAGATACTAGTATTATGTTTGAAATTTTACGAACTTTGCAGTCAGTAGAACGTTTTGAAATATTTTTTTTTTTTTTCAAGATAACAAAATTTGTTTACTTTTTCCACCATCTGTTTAACATGGATAAGATACTTCCTAATCAGTTGAAAACTTATGAGTTGCATTGTGGACCCCCTAATCCATTGTAAAAATAGTTGAATGTCATGCAACTTGACTTGTGAATTGTACTGTACTTCCTAGCAATTTCTGAGTGACTCCCTAGCTCCATGTATTTTTGGGGGGTGGACTCCTTAGAAAACTTGAAATTAGTATTGTTTCCATGATTCATTTCTTAAATTTTTAATAATGAACTTGTGAACTCTCTACATAAGTTTTAAGTGTTGCATGCGAGTTAATACTCAACAACTGAAAACAGTGACCAGCCAGGTTGATCTATAGTGTGATAAAATATATTGATGAAGTTAGTACTTACTGAGCCCCCTAGGTTGTCATGTTACAGTGCTTCTGAAAATAACAAATAAGATTTTGAGAAAGTATAATGAGATTTACAACACACCTAGGGGGCCCGGACACCTCAGGTATTGCTGTGATTGAAAGCAATATTTTGATAATGAGATGCAATACACAGATTAGTTTTGATAGATTATGCATGTCAAATATAGTTTGCTTGACTGCTGAATAAATGTTAACATGGAAGTCACCTTTTTATAGCTTTGTGTACATCCACAGTACTAAATGTGGTCTTATTTTGTTTAACAAAATCAGTTCATTGGAGGTAACAATAAACAATTTTGTTGTCAGGTCTATTAGCTATTCATGTGTTTGCTGCACCCCCCTGGGATGCTGGGGTAAAGGACTGTTTAGTTTTATTGCTGTATATTGCCACATTAATTTCTGAAATTTTTTTTTTTTATGAAATTTGATTATTTTTCAGAAAGTAGGAAACTTTATTCACTTTTAATTAACTTTAAAGAGAATCATTCTCTACAAGTCCTCATTTGTCTTCTTTCGTAATCACTACACTGGAACCTGATGCAATCAATGCAGTGTATGTATGAGTTTCTACCTTATCTGCATTAGCATTAATTTTTAAGGCTCTCTAACTCCATGAAATGTATCTGCCATTATTTGCATATTTTCATGTTAATCTGGTATTGTTACTAGATTAACATGTACTACAAGCATCATCTACCAAGATGCCACTGAATAGCAAGTTC